AGGTCATATATCAAATACAGTAATACAGGAGTTAGGGAATCTTAGCTTTTTTATTTAAAGTCGATATTGTGGGGCCGATATGAGATAGAGGTAGGGCAGCCGACTTGGGACCAGAAAGCCGCAGGTTCAACTCCCCGCCATTCCCACATGTCGTGGTGTCTTTGAGCAAGACATCTAATCCCTAAGTACAGCGAAATTACATTCCGTACAACCGTCCGAAATATAGACAGAAGTGTACAAGGGCTGCAGCTTTGCAGAATAATAGAAGGTCCTTTTGCCTAGTTCAGTCCTCACTGAGGGGACACTGCAGGTAATAATGTCCTGAGAGCGCACGCTGTAGCTGCACTCACGCAGAGACATGTAGGAGGAGATGTATGAAGGCAGCAGACCAAGAAGTGATTTAAAGATGAAAATGTACCAGTGGGAGAGTCTGTGTGAAGTTAATGGTGACCAGTTAACCAGTGAATACTGGGTGCAGTGGTGGGTACGGTAGTTACAGCCAGTTATGAATCTTAGTGCACCATGATAGACAGCATCCAACATCTGCAGCATCCAACATCTGCAGCATCCAACATCTGCAGGGTTCTTGTAGGAGCGTTCATGTAAATAATGTCACCGTAATCAATGGAGGGAAGGAAAGTCACAGTTACAAGGCGTTTCCAAACATTCAGAGTTAGACAGGATCTGTTTCTGGAAGAAAAAAAAAAAAATCAGTTTTTCTTTCAATTTTTTCCCAAGTTTTCCACATGAGGCTTAACAGAGAGATGCTAATCCACTAAGATATCAAAGTATTTATAAGAATCGACAAACTCAATAAGGACAAATTTCTTTATGGCCCTAAATTATTGGCCCTACCGATATATCGGTCGAGCTGTACATACTGTTGACAAGCGACTGTCTTTTCTAGGTTATATTTGAAACTAACTGGGTTTTAGCATGTTTGCCTTTTAGACTGTTTACTCTTGTTACTTAATTTATTTATGTTTCCATTCATTGTTCAGCTGCAACCGTAAATGAAAACTCGAATCATACAAACTTGTTAAGTTTTAAAAATGACAAAGGTTTAGTTTACGTGAAAACAGCTTGAGAAAAACTCAAACCCGAATGGTATCTAATGATAACTTTGAGTTTTTCTTTTCATTTTGTTCAGGCATACATTCGGTGCAGATGGTGTGGCTCATTACCGGACTCTCCGGTAAAATAACACACCTCTCCTTCCTTGGTGTGAGCGTTGATTTCCTGCCAATTTCCAGAGGCTTTCGCTCCCACACCTGGAGATTTTTGGCAGGTTCTTGAAGCGCTCTTATGTTTGTTTTATTTATTTATCTTTGCTGCCAAGTATATTTCTTTCCCTTTATTTAATTTTCAGAAATCATATTTGTTGACGGCTGTACAAAAGCACTTTATGTATTTGAATAAATTTGGTTGTAACTTGATTTCTGAATAGAGGTTGTCCTGAATAAAATCTTGTTCTAAACAGATTGTCCACTTGAGAACAAGTAATTTGAAAGAGATGTGCAATTAAATTAGGAACTTTTCCAACATTTTCCTGGAAAACTTTATTATTACTCTGAGTTTTGTGGCATCAGCTTACCAGGCTTTACCGACATAATCTGTTTCATTTCATATCGGGCTCGGGGTCAGTTATCTGAGCCTGTCACATCAGACAAGAAAATATCAAAACTAATCTACAAAGAGGAAATGGAAAACCAGCCTGCCAGCCTACGAGTCGTGTGTGCGCTTCTTCATAATCAGGCTTCATGGCTGTAAACAAATGTCAGAGTGTTCCCGTCAGCCGAACCGGGTCCTGTTTAAATGGGCGGTTGGACAGGGCAGCGGTTTGTTCCAGGCGTCTGCCATGTTTGAAGGTCTCTCCTGTGGCTGGAGCTCGCAGATGGAAACAGAAAAGAGAGCGCTGCAGGATCAGGTGCTTTAATAATCCACATTCACACAGTCTGTCTGTGAGTCTCCATGAGGATGTTGCCAAAGAGCTGTTCAAACTACCTGGGCTTTGTTTGGCCTGTGCCACTGTGTTTTTGAATAAATCTGAATTAAATGATAAATGGACTGTTATTGTGTTGCACCTTTCTATCTTCAAGATACTCAAAGCTCTTTACATTTACCTCCAACACACACATTCATATAGCACTCTCCTACATCTCTATAAAGATTATCTGATTCTGTAGAGACTAATCAGAGCTTTAGATCACATTCACACACCGGTGGGACACACATCAGACACAATGAGAGGTCCAGTGTCTTGCCCAGGGGCACGTCAGCATGTGACTCTGGTGGAATTGAACCCCCATCTGTCCTATTGGAGGACAACCTCTCTAACCACTAAGCCACAGCTGCCCTTGCAGGGCAGCATAAACACTTGCTGTTTGCAACAAGATCCAAATGGAAAACTGAATTTAACACGAGTGTATACTTATGAATAAACCTGAATTAATAACCCTTAGAACCTAATGGAGCCAGCAAACAGCAAGACATGAAGGCTCTGACAAAGAACTGTGGTAAATCAGGATACGTGCACACAAGGAATGGTAATTACTGGGTGACAACAGGTGCGTTGATTACTAACGGAGTACAGGTATACAGGAAGCTGAAGCAAAGAAATGGTGAAACGGATCAACGGTCCATACTTCAGTTGTTCCTTTGACCTTCTCCAAGGTCTGCAAAGTGTTTTACAACTCATTTAGCCATTCTCACACTCATGATGCACCTTTTATTATGTGTTTATTACACACAATGTGCAGCACTTTTTTATATGTTCGCATGAAGGTGAAGGAGCATATTGGAGGCTAGACAGACATAATTCACTTGAACAACCCAAACCACTTAAACTCAACAAAGAACAAGAACCAATGAAACCATTTCTTGATTAAATCCCATTTCCATCACAGGTTTGCATATGAAACGTGTAAAGAAAGATGTCAGACACTCTGTTGGTGCTTGGAGTATATGTTGATGACACAACACGTTCAGTAGAAGACACCTGGACCTCTTTTTTGATCTTTGAACACACAACTTCTCATTCGAGGAGATTTCCCAGTTCAAACCGAACAAACAGATCTCTCCCTTCTGAAGAGTTGTGCTCTTTGTTAATCTGAGCCACATGAGAATTGTTTTGGTCACAGGAAAGTGCAAATTTGTGTGAAACTGTCGGGATTAGTTTTTAATTTTATTTTGCAGTCCAAGTCAGCAACCACCTTCTCTGTTTAAAGTTGGTCTTGTTTCGTCAGTCATGGGATTCCGTCACGTTGTTCTCAAATCATCTTTCTCTGTTGAACATTGTCCTCAGAAGTGTCCCTTATCCTTGAGATGTTGGTGCACCTCTCCATGTTTGAGATTTGTTTACTTTTGTTAGATCAAAAATGAAATATCCACAGCAGATATGACCTTTTTTTTCCAGGCTTTTGTTCCATCTCCTCTACAGCTTCCAGCATTTTATATTTGACCAGGCCCTCGTCTTGTCACATTCGTTTCAGTTAACCAGTAATGTCCGCGGTTGTCAAAAACCATTGGTTTTGGTGGCGTGATGCTCACGCCGCAAAGCATGGTGGAGGGTATATTGTATTTGCCCAGAGTTCTTAGAGATTTTTTATGGTGCTGGATGTGAACAATCCCTTATCGTCCTCACAGCCATACAATTAGAATCATCATTAACCGCTACTATCAGCACATCAATGGGCCAGAGGGGTTATAATGGACTTATAGACCATTTATGGAGTCATCAGTCAATGCAATTGTTAACTAAACTGTCTGTCATGGAGCCAGAGCTAAGTGGATGGTCACTGGCTCAACTGGGGAGATTGGAATGGGAGTATGTGAGGTGAACGTTTATGGTACGTTATTTACACGATTTATGTTCAGGAGCATCTAATCTCGTTTTGAAGCTATTTTCCACAGAGAGTTTGTAAGTGACCATGAGAGGGACCAATACGGACGTCCAAAAGGTTACAGTGTATACACGACATAATGGTCAGATCAGTTAAAGGGACTGCTGGTTGGTTGCTTTTATTTTATTATTTATTTTGGCAGTCTTACACACGAGACACCAAGTAGCTGAAATTAATATCTCTCTCTCTAATATATATATATATATATATATATATATATATATATATATATATATGGGATATATTCACTGTAAGCAGCAGAAGGCTCTGCTCAGACACGTTTTGGTTTCTAGAACGTGTACAAGTGATAAAGCACTCTTTGCAGTTTTCAGGATATTATGTACTAAACTAAAAGTTGTCAGTGACAGCTTGGGGGTGCGCTCCCTGCACCCCAGTCTAAGTCCTACAGCGGTGAGAAACACACAAAATGTTTTGTTTTCATGTACCATTTGTATATGTGCAAAAAAGTGGGCATAAGTAGAGTTTGCCAAAGAATTTACGATTTTAGATGATTCAAAATTCTTTAAAAAAAGTTGTGTCTCAGTGTTTCCTCTACCATTAAACAAGCTGAACTGAACCCAGCGCCCTGCCAAGGCAAGTCATTGTGAGCTAGTGGAAACACTGAACTTTACTGTTTGTGGACAGATCTCCTAAGATCATAAAGCTTCAGTAGTGATTGTGTAAAAAAAACCCAAACATTAAAACCATGAAAATGGCCGTTCAGTCAGTCCAACTTTCTGTGAGCGGTTTAAACTTTGGGTGATGTTTGATGTACAGACGCACAGGAGTTGTATTTTTGACCCGTTTCCCAAAAACTATTGTCTTTGGAGAACAGAAATTGTTTTGGCCACTTTTGTCTACATTGTAGGACGTACTACTTCCAAATGTTACAGCTCGTGATTCCTGCTCTGACCACTTCTTTTAAAGTCTTCATGATTCAACCTTAAACTGTGAGTGGTGAAAACAAAAATATATCAAAAAGGGAATGGCACCTTCACTGCGTATATACCGCCACCCCTAACGAGGCTGAACAAGTTGCAGCCATGTTTAATGTGGGTGTCTGTAACGAACGCTGTTTGTCATGTTGTCTCTCCTCAGATGACCCAGGAACAGTGCTCTCACAGGAACAATGTCCAGAGTTCAGAGAAACCACAAGTGTACAAAGTGGGAATATACGGCTGGAGGAAACGCTGCCTTTACTTCTTCGTCCTGCTGCTCATGATCCTGATCCTGATCAACCTGGCACTAACTATCTGGATTCTTAAGGTCATGAACTTCACCATCGTAAGTCCTGTTTCGTGTTGCTCGTTTCGTTACAAGCTGACATGTTCTACGAGATAAATGCAGCTCGGCTGTAGCTTCTTCAACATCTGCTCACACTGGTGAATAGCATCGATAATGGTTTCAATTTGTTCATTTATAGAATATAAATAGTCTGTTTTTGAATATGCATTTTTTGTAAAAAGTCATTTTCTTGCATTTCTTTATGACATGAACGTATGATCTCTGGATATTTAGGTTCCAGTTGTGTTTTTACTGAGATGGATTACCGTAATTTCTGGACTATTGAGTGCACTCTAATATAAGCCGTGCCCACTGAGTTTAAATTTTATTTTATTTTGTACATATTTAGGCCGAGCTTGTTTATAATCTGCGGGTGTCCACGTTGTAACATGAGATATTTGCACTGAAAGATTTTTTAAAAACTTTTAATTAAAAACACACACAAACACGTAGTGTTGTAATCAAGACCACCTAACCTGAGACCAAGTCAAGACCAAGACCGGTCTCGAGTACTACAACACTACAAATATGTTCAGTAAATCAAAAACAGTTAAATCTGTCATCTGGACAGTTTCTCTTTAATAAGAAACGTTTCATCCTTCATCCAAAGGACTTCATCAGTCTGAGGCCTGCCAGCAGGATCTGTCGTATTAAGTAGTGCCTTGTTAAGCACGTACGGTATTTTATTTTATTTTTTCTTGAACAGTGCCTGTAACAAGGCTGGTTAAAAATAAATAAATACAGTACCATGTCAGGAAGTCGTGCAAAAGTTGCCCCCCCCCCCCCCCCCCATTTCATTGGTCCATTGTGACATGTTCGATAATGTCATTGGTCTGATTTTTTTTTAGCTTTTATTTATACAAGAAGAGTCATTGGGTCACGAGGACCCACCCCCAATAGAGACATTTATCGGGCAGCTATGTGAGCACCCGGGTGTCACGAGGCTGAATGTTTGGTGGCATGAAGCTCGTTAACCCGTCAATAATAAAATAAATCCGTAAATTATCCGCAGCATTGTATAAGTCGTGGGGTTCAAAGTGTGAAAGAAGGAGCAGCTTATAATCCATAAATTACAGTATCTCATGTGAGTTTATACTTGTGAGTCTTAATGAAGTGCATCTGCTTTCGTTTGACTTTTTGACACAACTGCAACCACTGCTTGTTGCTGTTAGGAGGTATGTGAGTAATACTTTGTACACTTGAACACCATGCTGTTTCAGTCAGGTTGAGTTCTGGACTCGTTCTTATCCAACTGGATTTCCATGACTGGACTTGCACCGTGCACACAAGTAAAAAAGTTACGTGTAGATTACTTACAAACATAATTCTATGATCTGGGGCTTAGAATGTTTTACTATTATGTGTTTTTTGGGCAGTGTTACATTTCTTCAAGTTTGTTTCTTGAAGTAAGTTTCATAATTTTGAGAAGTAATCGTCTCATTTGTTTTGTGAAGTTAAATAATAGATAATGGAGACAAAACTTTAGCATGTCTCCTATCAATCCAGTTTGGTTTCTCATATCGCACCAGTTCTTCTTCTTCTTTCGGCTGCTCCCTGCGTTTGGGGTCGCCACAGTGAACTCAGTCACACGAAGACTTGTCAGTGATTTTGACGCCGGACGTTCTTCCTGATCAACCACAGACACCGAGCTACCACAGCCCTGTGTGGAGCAGAGAGCTGCATCTAGGACACCCCGAGGAGCAGAGGGTGGGGGTTAAGGGCCTTGCTCAAGGGCTCAGAGTGGGACGAATGAGGGTGGGTGCTTCACCTACCCCACCCACATTTTTGATGTTGTCAGTATCAGGGCTTGAGCCGGCGATCTTCCGATCACAGGCCCACCTTCTCTAACCTCTGCGCCACTGCTCTCCTTCTTATCACACCAGTTGAGCATCAAAATTAATTATAAGGCTAAAAACAAATCTGAACCCAAGTCAGATTTAAGGACAGTCAATTAAATTCTTATTATACTGTATTATATACCTTATTATATATACTGTAGTATATACTGTAGTATATACCTTATTATATATACTGTAATATATACTGTAGTATATACTGTATTATATACATTATTATATATACTCTAGTATATACTG